AAAGAAAGAAAGAAAGAAAGAAAGAAATAAGAATATTTTTTTTAAATGGTCAGGGAGTAATTATTATGAAGAGAAGCAGACGATCGAGAGAAAATGTCGGATCATTCGCTGTATTTTGATATAGTTTTTTTTTTATCATCAGTAACACGCAACAGAAAAAGTTCCTAACGAATAGCTTAAAAAAAAAACAAGTTGAATAACCCCGATCAGTAACGAGTTTATAGGAGAAATGCCAGAACTATTATGTTATTTCTTTTTTTTTAAACCTCTATTTTCACACCGCCCCTTCTCTCACGTCTTTCGATTAGCAATATTGATTTATTTTTTTTATTCGTCAGATTTAAATCTATTGGAAAAGATCAAAGATCATTAAAGTGTTAGCGTAAAAATTAAAGATGTTTTTTTTTATTATTATTCTTTTACCCTCAACATCTCTTCCTCCCTATCAATATTCACATCTTCGTCTCAACTAACAATGTTTCTGCTTTTATATCACGGCCACACACTTCACTGCTACCTCTATAACAGAGCAGCAACAGCCTATAACCTCTAGAAGTTTCGATGTGTGGTAACAGTTAACAAGTTCATGTTATTGACCATTAATACAGACTAAAGAGTTCCTCCCTTACTGAGCGCTCCATATTTGAAGCCATATTTTAGCCAAACGGGGTTAATATCTGTTGTGGATTCCGGGTTGAAATCTGGTACCAATAAATAACAAACGCCAGGAATGAATATATGAAAATAATGTATTAACGTAATAATACAAACTGGTAAAGCACGTTAGTAGTTCCAGGAATACGGGTTAGTAGCAAAATATTATATATAGTCTTTGGTATTGAAGTATCGCTGTATGACTTCTTACTGAGTCTACGTGCTCGCTCACTGTGACTCCTACAACGCTGTTACCTCACCCCTCACTCTTCCGGTTACCTACAACCTTTTACTCTGTCACTCTGGACTCGACTCGACTCGACTCCTCGGTCTTTGCTCTCTCTTACTCTCGTCTTACTCTTGCAATAGTATATGTATATACTGGGTGAGTTCATTTGTATAAAAAGGGGTGGACCCCTCAACAATATCATAACGAAAATTTCAAACACAAGAATATTGAACTACCATGTAATATCTGACTTCCCATATGGCAGTGGTTGCTGGACGAGTTCGTCACTAGTCTTGGGTGTGACGAAAAACTATATCCGTTTGCAAGGCCTCTGATCAGTTGATATGTCCCGGAAAGGGATATATTTGTTCGAAGTAGCCAAGTGATTGTTGACTACTGTAAGTGGGTAGGACAATCTATCAGGTAACCGTAATGAACTGGTCCTCGTCGTAGGGGTAGGCAATAGGCGAAAACAATAGGCGTAGTCCTGTACCTCAACATCAGTCTGGATTTATGGCTGACACCAGCCAATCATATTACTGTGAGGGGGAACACAAGTGTATGCATATTCATTACATGATCAGGAGATTAGAGGTTTTGAGGACCTTAATTGCAGTTGTTCCCAGGTCTACGCTGACCCTAGTGGCAGCACCTGTTAGGGTTCCAGCTATGGGAAAATAATTAACCCCCAAACTAGGGTCAAAACACTATGAAAGTGTAAAAAATCATTTTTATAGTGTGGAATGTCAACATTTTGATTATGTCGATATTTTCTCTTCTCAAGTCCAGTAGCTGTTATCACTCTTTCCATTATTGATGGAGGTTTCCTAACTTTTTTTGTTTGAAGTAGTGTGGAAACCATTTTTGTTTGATATTTTCTTCTCAAATCCAGTAGCTGTTATCACTTTTTCCATTATTGTGGAGGTTTCCTTCCTAACCTTTTGTTTGAAGTAATGGGGAATGTCAACATTTTGATTTTGATTTTTCTTCTGTTGATCACTTTTCCATTATTGATGGAGGTTTCTTCCTCTCAAATCCAGTAGCTGTTATCACTCTTTCCATTATTGATGGAGGTTTCCTTCCTAACCTTTTGTTTGAAGTAGTGCGGAATGTCAACATTTTGATTATGTCGATATTTTCTCTTCTCAAGTCCAGTAGCTGTTATCACTCTTTCCATTATTGATGGAGGTTTCCTTCCTAACCTTTTGTTTGAAGTAGTGCGGAATGTCAACATTTTGATTATGTCGATATTTTCTCTTCTCAAGTCCAGTAGCTGTTATCACTCTTTCCATTATTGATGGATAACCTTTTGTTTTTCGGAATGTCAACATTTTGATTATGTCGATATTTTCTCTTCTAACCTTTTCCTTTGGAGGTAACCTTTTGTTTGTGGAGTGCGGAATGTCAATATTTTGATTATGTCGATATTTTCTCTTCTCAAGTCCAGTAGCTGTTATCACTTTCCATTATTGATGGAGGTTTTTCCATTATTGACATTTTGAAGGTTTCCATTATTGATGGAGGTTTCCTTCCTAACCTTTTGTTTGAAGTAGTGTGGAATGTCAACATTTTGATTATGTCGATATTTTCTCTTCTCAAATCCAGTAGCTGTTATCACTCTTTCCATTATTGATGGAGGTTTCCTTCCTAACCTTTTGTTTGAAGTAGTGCGGAATGTGAATGATATTTTCTCTTCTTTTGATTATGTTTCCTTCCTAACCTTTTGTTTGAAGTAGTGGAATTATTTTAATGTCGATATTTTCTCTTCTCAAATCCAGTAGCTGTTATCACTCTTTCCATTATTGATGGAGGTTTCCTTCCTAACCTTTTGTTTGAAGTAGTGCGGAATGTCATTTTGATTATGTCATATGCTGTTATCAACTCTTTCCATTTTTGTTGCTAACCTTTTGTTTGAAGTTTTGAATGTCAACATTTTGATTAGTCCTCTGATTACATGTGCAAAGCTGATATCGTTCCTCTTATTTGGTACAAACTAGGGTCAAAACACTATGAAAGTGTAAAAAATCATTTTTATAGTAAAAATACCAACAATAAATTTGTATGGTTAAAAAAAATTACCATCAATATATTTTTGTGAAAGAAATTACGAATACTCCCAAGAAAATAAAATTTCGGCATTAAATGACCCCTAAGAACTTGATATGGCGCTAAACAAAAAACAAAACAAACAATCGTATCCCAGATGAAAAAAGACTATAAGTTTGTGCAATTAAGGTTGTACTGAAAGAACATTCATTTTACAGTAATTCATAATTCATTTCAAATTAATCTTCATCAGTGACCTTCCCAATGTCATCAGTTTCATACAAGGTATTTACGCTGATGACACAACTATGGTGATATGGAAGCAATATTCAATGAAGGGGCAAATGGTAAATTTATAAATGTGCAAGATGGATTCTAACAAGAATTGTCTGTCACGACACATGCATTCAAAGCCGTCTGACACCAATAAGTCCTAGGTATGAGGATAAACTACATCCGCGTCCTAGGTATGACGATAAACTACATCCGCGTCCTAGGTATGACAATAAGCTACATCCGCGTCCTAGTTATGACAATAAACTACATCCGAGTCCTAGGTATGACGATAAACTACATCCACGTCCTAGGTATGACGATAAACTACATCCTCGTCCTAGGTATGACAATAAACTACATTCTCGTCCTAGTTATGACAATAAACTGCATCCGCGACCTAGGTATGACAATAAGCTACATCCGCGTCCTAGTTATGACAATAAACTACATCCGAGTCCTAGGTATGACGATAAACTACATCCACGTCCTAGGTATGACGATGAAGAACATTCACGTCCTAAGTATGACAATAAACTACATCCGCGTCCAATATTCTTCAGCGGTGTTACTATAGTTTTATCTGCGAATACAAAGTCTCTACTACAACGATCATTACGAAAGTGACAACGAGTATTCGTTGACATTACAAAAAATGTCAAACGAGTGTTCGTTGACATCACAAAAAACACCGAATGACATCTGTCTTCCTGAAACCTATTCTTTTATTGTCCTTTCTCCTCACTAAAGACTTCTCATTCTGTTTCGCTCTCTGTAACCCCTATGCCTCCTAGTGGTATTATCGCCTTGTTTGGGGTCAAACAAAAAACTCAAAGGGTTTTTCATTAACTGGTTGGTGCACGTTCAGGTGAATTTGGCGGGTAGAGTGGAACAGACCAACCAAGATCCCAATTTTTTTCCTGTCTTGTCCTTTCTGTATGCGGCCTGGAGATTTTACATTTAATCTTTGTAATGAAAAGTTGTTTGATATCTAGCTATATTTCTGTTGTAATTATTTTCATTATTCAGACTGTTGAACGCCATCCTATGCAACTGTGGTAAGAAATATAAAGAAACAGCCCCGCCTCCTTAAGGCAAGACTGCAAGAACATCGTAAAGTCGTACCACGAAGGGAAACAGAAAAATCAAGCATAGCTGACCACATATGGAAGGAAAAGGGAGATCACTGCCACCTGTGGAATGAGGCTGAAATAATAAACATCACTGGAAAATACGTAAACTTAAAGAATCAGCATATATCCTAGGTCACAAAAATCTCCTAAGCTGGACAAGCATAGAAATGAATACAATGTGTGAATTAGTATACAGAGTACTAGAGAAAAATTGCAACATGAGCTCAGGTAAAAAAAGATGCGGAGACATTAAGTTTATAAATCCCAAAAATTCATGCACTGATTTCCTCAAGGAAACATGGCCCAATGGTTAAAAGCGTTGGTTGTATCCAGTGACTTGGCTCAAAGAGTTGTGAATTCAATACCTGGCTACTTCAGTGGTGAACAAAAACTTGGAGAGTTGAGTTAAAGGGAGATAACTGAGTCGGAAGAGGCATTCAAATCACCTGAAGACGGTCGGAGTGTGAATATGGCAAGAAAGATGAGGTCAACAGTCCGAATAACGTAAATAAGGATTGTTTGGTACACAAAACTTACATTTTCATTTCATTCTGCGTTGCTCAAAGATCATCGGACTGATGATGCTTATTGGAGACATCAGCACCCTAACCCTCCTCCCCGGCCCCTGACACACACACACAGACACATCTGTTGGGACGTACCAGCCCGATTGTCGTTGAAGAACAGCCTCCAACACTGGCCATCTGTTTAGGTAATTTAGATTTTTTTGGTGGAGATGGTGCCTTAATTCTTTCTTTCTTTCTTTCTTTCTTTCTTATTCTCAATTTTATCTCACAAGTGGTGAAGGGTCAATAGTCACCCACTTCAACTAACTCACCAGTAACGAAAATTATTAAAAAAACGCTCTATGTCTGAAAAGAATACTGAACTGTTACATGATATCCGCCCTCATATATGGCAGTGAATGTTGGACAATTTCCTCATAGAGACTTGAGGCAACAGAAGAATGCTGAAGATACCATAGGCCGATGGGTATGACGAAAAACTACATCCACGTCCTAGGTATGACGATATACTACATCCACGTCCTAGGTATGACAATAAACTACATCCGCGTCCTAGATATGACAATAAACTACATCCACGTCCTAGGTATGACGATATACTACATCCTCGTCCTAGTTATGACAATAAACTACATCCACGTCCTAGGTATGACGATAAACTACACCCGAGTCCTAGGTATGACGATAAACTACATCCACGTCCTAGGTATTACAATAAATTACATCCGCGTCCTAGTTATGACGATAAACTACATCCACGTCCTAGGTATGACGATAAACTACATGCGCGTTTTAGTTATGACAATAAACTACATCCGCGCCCTAGTTATGACAATAAATTACATCCGCGTCCTAGTTATGACAATAAACTACATCCACGTCCTAGGTATGACGATAAACTACATCCGCATCCTAGTTATGACAATAAACTACATCCGCGTCCTAGATATGACGATAAACTACATCCGGGCCTGGGTATGACGATAAACTACGTCCTACAGCAAGGCCTCTGACACTACGTTTTTGGAAATATAATGTTGCCAACTGTACTATTTTGAAAAAATATCACCAGCTATACGATTTTGAGGAAAAAATATCAACAGAAATAGAATTTTGACAAAACAAAAATATTACCAGGAAAAAAAACACTTGTCGGCATTAAATGACCCATTGAGGTGTAGATATGCTGTAAAACAAAACAAACCAAACCAAACCATAGACTGAACAATAAGCAACGACGATGTTTTATAAAAAAAAAAGGAAACTTATAGTTAACATCAAGAAGTGACAGTTAACATGTCTGGGGCACATAATGAGGAAGGAGGGCTTGGAAAATCTGATACACACAGGGCAGATTGAGTGCAAGAGGGAACAGATGAAAACAGCGTATAACATACTTGATGAGCTTAAGTAAAAGGATGGCCAACAGGGTTTAGGGGAAATAACGAAAAGATAAAATTTATTATGAATTACAAGGGACAGGAAGTTGTGGAGAGCCCTGATCGCCTACGGGGAGACGGTACACAAAGAAGGAGGAATAAATGTTTAAAGAAAATTATCTATGATTTCTGTTAAAATAGTAACTTTTTTTTTCTTTATGCCAATAATCTTAATCTGCGCGGCATTTGAAATTGAGTCTTGAACGTTTCGCTTTTCCTTTTGGCTTTCCAACTGTTCAGTCAAGTTCTTCTTCGCATTATCAGGTAGCGGTTTATTTTGTGCTTATTCTATAACCGAGGCTTCTTATTTGATAAGTTTTTTTTATTTTTTATCTATTTTTTTTTTTTTTGTTCTCCAATAATTAAATATTTCCCGACATTCACCAGTTTCAACTCATTTTCACAAATTTGCTTTTCTTAATCTCATTTTAATCTAATTTTTCGTTTTTCTTTATAGCTTCTTTTTTTTTTTTTATTCCTATATTTTTAGATCAATAATCTCTTCTCCCCAACTGCGTATCCTTCTCAAGTGAAAATTTCCCCCCTGGTTCGTTTTAATCGAAAGTCTTTTTTTTAAAAAAAATCTTTTAAGGCAAAGTATTTCTTAGATTTCTGAAAAAAACAATCAATAACTTCGTATTTTCTAAATTAATTTTTGAACGAATCACGAAAGTTTGACTTCATGAAATTAAATCGCCTCTTGAAAATAACCCCCCGCCATAAAGCAGACGTTAACATCGGAGACCATTTACTAATGAATTCGGTCCACATTAGGTGCTCCACATTTGTATTTCTAGGCTTACGGCAATACCTCTCATAAAGTCAAAAATATTCCCACTTTTTTAATTCAACTTCTGGTTCTGCGGAAGGAGCTTCCAATAGGATCACACCAGATATACGTCATCGTCGTTTCGGCTTTTAATGGTGGCTCATTTCGTTTTCGACTGCACGTTTTTCGATCCACATTGTTGTAAACAATACCCTTTTCATTGCTCGTGATTGTTCTTTTAAAAATATGTTTTTTGTTTTTTTTTATTGCGTTTGAACAGAGAATCGCTGGATGGATATTGTGGCCGATAAAATTTGCTCGTTAAATCGTGAATCGTCGAAATCTAGTATCCACTCACGTATGCCTTCAAATACATTACAAGGTTTTTTTACAATAATGTTCACCCTGTACAAAGCCCAAGAGCTACTCGAGGTAGAGGATTACAGAGTACCTGGACTAACTAGGAGGTCCATGGGTTTCAAGTAGGGTCGTGAGAGTCAAGTAATAATTAAAATTTATATCCGCTATAGAGCTCTTGTCCCAATCAATGGTTTCCGATTGAAATAAATAAAAGAAAATACATCCTGCCACTGCTTGAAAGAAAACCCCACCCAGCCACTACTTAACGATTGACACTACTGCAGTGTCAATCGTTATCTTCTGACTTATTAGTTTTCTATGCCTTTATTGTCCTCTCTACTTAATTTTTTTTTCTTTTCCCAATATTCTTCCACATGCAGTAACCCCTTGCGTCAGTGGCTTTCTTACCTCGCTTGGGCTAATAAAGAAGAAATAGCAGGACTGTTCCAGACCTCCGTAGAAAAGTAGTTCCGTAAACCAGTCGGTGTACGCTATTGCTGTCTTCTGTCTTAACATTTTCGTTGAACGTTTCATGAGTGACGACCTTGAACACCATGGCACAGTTAGCATCGGAGATCGCAACATCATAAACCTTCGTTTGCAGATAATACAGACGATGAAGCTGGTAAAAAAAGAGCCGTTCATGAAGAATTTGTCGACCGCTAGACGTCTCTCGACCGCTAGACATTTCTTGACTTGCTGTTGGGTCCATGTTTGTCTCCGCACGACCACCAAAAAATGCTGCCTTGTCATAATCCTTATTTTCTCTATATACGCCCATATACCAATGGTTTTAAACCTTTTCTGAGTCACGAACCCATTGAGTCACGGATCCCTATAAGAACTAGCCCTTCATAGGCAGAGAGACAGACAAGCAAATACTCACAGCCTGATTGGTTTTTACCAACCCGTTCATGTGCCTTTCTACATACTGCACCCTCTTGCACATTACAGACACATCATTTTTCAACCAGCAGCGCTTGAAAATGAAATTGTGGTTATTTAATCCTTATCAGTATAGAGATTTTCCAAGCGTAGCTTAGATGTGGCATAACGTCAAAAGTAGGGGGCACTCAGTGAGAATCGAACGCACTAAGCCGTAATTGTTCTAGCGAGACAAGCTTGCTAACCATTACACCGCCTCGAGGTGCCCAAATTCTCACCAGTATTACCACTGCCACTGTTTGTGCTGCTCTTGAAATTATTTCTATCCTTGATCCCTCTTTGGTGTGCTGATAACTGAGCCATGATATTTGAATTGGCTCAGTCCGTTAAGATGCTGGCCATTTATAGTCATAAGAAATATATAAAAACCGTGGGAAATGAGAATTATCACTTGCTCTTATAGAGTGGCAAAAGATGGCGGTCGTACAAAGAATGGTGATTTAAATGGTAAAAATGGACCCAACAGCAAGTCACAAGACGTGGCACTCTAAGTATTGGCAGGGTGCATTTTCTTTCAAGCAGTTGCAGGAAGCATTTTCTTTTTATTTATTTCTGACATAAAAACAGTATTTACTGTTTGTTCAATTTATTCGAGTGTTATTTTTTCCTGTACGTCATCACCCTGCTTGGACTAGCCGAACACGAAGATACCTGCGACGATTCTATCTTGGCATCCTTATGATCAAACTCAAATCACAACATGGGATAAGGCAGATCTGAGTTCAAAGCGATCTTCATCGATCAGCCGCGGTGTTGGATGTCTTGGACGACCTGGGAGGGTGTTGCACGATTACATATCGTAAGAGCCAACAATCTTTCTTATACCATCCTATCAGGTATCACTTTTGGGAAAATAAAGGGAAAGACGGCAGTAAAAATGGGTAGGCAGAAGTAAAAATGGATATACAGAGGTAAAAACGGGCAGACAGAGGTAAAAATGGATAGGCAGAGGTAAAAATGGATATACAGAGGTAAAAACGGGCAGACAGAGGTAAAAATGGGTAGGCAGAGGTAAAAATGGATATACAGAGGTTAAAACTGGCAGACAGAGGTAAAAATGGATAGGCAGAAGTAAAAATGTATATACAGAGGTAAAAACGGGCAGACAGAGGTAAAAATGGGTAGGCAGAAGTAAAAATGTATATACAGAGGTTAAAACGGGCAGACAGAGGTAAAAATGGGTAGGCAGAAGTAAAAATGGATATACAGAGGTAAAACGGGCAGACAGAGGTAAAAACGGGCAGACAGAGGTAAAAATGGGTGGGCAGAAATAAAATAATTGGCTGACAGAGGTAAAAACTGGCAGACAAGAGTAAAAACGGACCGACCGAAATAAAAATGGGCAGGCAGATGTAAAAGCGGGCTGTCCAGGGAAAAATGGACAGAGGCAAAAACGGGTAGACATACGTAAAAATGGACGGAGATGAAAACGGGCAGACAGAGCTAAAAATGGGTAGACAGAGGTAAAATTGGCAAATATAGATAGAAACGGGTAGCAAAGGCAAAAAAGAACAGACGGAGGTAAAAATGGACTAAGTGTGGAGCATCATTCACATACTCAGATATTGGCGCGCAAAAAGACATATGGAGGAATCTGGTCACGGGATCAGCCGCGTAGCAAAACCTTCGACCATATCCGGTCATTGAACTTTTGGTGATGATGATGATGACGATGAAATATCTCAGTTATTTTATTTTAATCATGAAATAACTTATTAAATTTAATATTTTGGGGTTTTTTTTTTTTGGTATTTTTTTAGATAATCAAAACACAAAAATAACAATCATTTTGTAAATGTGAGTTATTGCCTATTAAAATACATAATTCTGACGGTCAAAGAAATCGATTGATTAAATAGATGGATTCTGACCTGACCTTTTGATCAGTGAATAAAATACTTGGCACTTGTGATCATCAGACAAAGATGAACAATCAGAATTTATTGCTAAGTTCGAATTGATCAAGAGGTCAAGAAAAAGACATTAAAACTTTTGCGTTCTAGAAAGTTATAAATCTGATACAACAACCATAACAACATTCTATTTATTTTCTTCATGTTATATATATATATATATATATATATATATATATATATATATATATATATATATATATATATGTATGCATGTATGTATATATATATATATACATATGTATGTGTGCTCTCCCTCTCTTTTTCTTTTTTCCTCTCTCTCTCTCTCTCTCTCTCTCTCTCTCTCTCCCTATATATATATATAATTCAACTCAAAAGCAGTTATGGAAATAGGTAAAAAAATAGTAGAATTTAACTATTTTAAGGCCAGTCGAATTTTCACTGCTCAGTTGGTAACTAGGGCGACAATAATCAATAAGTCAATAAAAGACCATTTAACAATTATTGATTTATTGAATATTTTATATATATATATATATATATATATATATATATATATCAGTAATTAATAATTTTTTAATTCGAAGATATTCATTACATATCTACCGCTCAAAATTTAGAGTAATACGAAACATTATATATATATATATAGAGAGAGAGATAGAGAGAGAGAGAGAGAGAGAAAGAAGAGAGAGAGAGAGAGAGAGATGGTAACTGCCACTGTTTGTGCTGCTCTTGAAATTATTTCTATCCTTGATCCCTCTTTGGTGTGCTGGTAACTGAGCCATGATATTTGAACTGGTTCTGTCCGTTAAGATGCTGGCCATTTATAGTCATAAGAAATAGATAGATAGATAGATAGATAGATAGATAGATAGATAGATAGATAGAATTAAAACGAAAGATTGTTTACGTGTGCTTCTTATAATATGTAGATATAATAGGCCGGTTAATAAAATTGGAGGAATAAAAAACGAGCAAAAAGATAACAATCTAAGATAGATGATATTTCTATTTATTAGTCTTTTGACTTATTGGAGCATGAAGAGAAAAATTTGAAATTTTCGGACACGTCTGTGTCCTTTTACAATGAGACGAGAAATAAACAAAGACGTGAGAATCACTCTTCCGGACATTAAAATCGTATTTCAAAAGGCTGATATGTATTAAATATCATCAATCTTTTTGGCAATATGTAATCATTTTGTGGACTCTTTATTCCTCAAAATTTATTAACCGGAATATCTATCTATCTATCTATCTATCATATCTATCTATCTATTATCACACACACACACACACACACACACACACACACACACACACATATATATATATATATATATATATATATATATATATATATATATATATATATATATATAATATAAATTAATATGATCCGAAAATATTAATTACATATCATCGACTAAAATACCGTTTATAGTATTAATAAACATTTCGGAATAAAAGCAAATACAATAATTGCTTAAATTACGTTTCGGGACAAAAGTATAAGAGAATGAATAATAAAATAATTTCAGGCTACAAAGTTAGTTTTTTTATATATATATATATATATATATATATATATATATGTATATATATATATATATATATATATATATATATATGTGTGTGTGTGTGTGTGTGTGTGTGTGTGTAAATATATACAAAGGTACCTCAAAAAACGCGATACCTAAGGTTTAAAATGCATTTTTTTAAAATAAAAGAATCTTTCTTGAAGCTTTTATTTTAGTTTTAATTTCAAGTTAATAGATTAAATTTAATATTTCGAATAAATACTTTTTCTGGATTTCAAACTGAATTTAAATTGATTGGAATAATTTTTTTTTTTTAGTGCCAGTAAGAACATTGAAATCGTTCATATTGACAAATCTCTCAATACAACGTAATTCTCTTTATTAAAAAATCAAAAATCAAATATACTTTTCTGAAACTTTATTCGCGGAACATATCTGATTTAAAGTTTAATTAATCTGATTGAAACAAATATTACTTACATTTAGCTCAAAATATTGCAGAAAAGCATTTTTTAACACGGAGGTAGGTGCTTTATGAGGCGTTGACAACTCTCTCGATAGACTTATGCTTGGGAATTTTTTCTAATGTGGACATAACTGAATAACATTACTAAAAAGTCTAAAAAGACTCTTTGTACTTTACTGTTCATCTGACAACGCAGTGTTTGCTTACCCGGCTAAGGAATTCCACTGTTCCATCTCTAGATGCAAGAGTAATATATACTAAGTCTGATAAAAAAAAATATCGTGACTGTTGCTATGGTAACAGAGCTAAAGCACGCAGAGTTAAACCGCTTGGCACAAATAGACTTTGAACTCTGTCACGCATGTCACTAAGACATAACGTTCTTGCTCACTTCCGTTGTTTATAGCAGTGCTTTGAAGGAAAATGTGTAGAGTGTGGTCGTCTCATTACATCAACGTGGTTCTGTCAGTGATCATGGCTTGTGCAGCAGTCTGGGTTCAAGCACAGCATTCCTCGGGTTCGACAGCCACAATATTCTCCAGACTTCGCCTCTTCGTCTTCAAAAATCAAATCCCAAATGAAAGGAACAAGATTTCTAAGATGTCGTGGAAATACAAGAAAATGCGACGAGGCAGCTGCTCGCTATCCCCTAGAAAAGATGTTCCAGGAATGTTTGCATCAATGGAAACGGCGCTGGATAATGTGTATCAATTCAGAAGTGGGGGGGGGCTACATCAAAGTGGATCAGGCAGGATTGATATATGTGATACCTTTCCTTTTATAGCACCAGTCCCTATACTTTTTAGCTTCTGTATAAAATCTACATCATCATAAACAAACTACATCTAATCCTTCCTAAATACCATTCATATCCCCTATGATCATTTGATATAAACTCAAGGTTACCTCCAATCGGTTGTTAACTGGGGCAAGAATTGGCTGGTCAACTTTAACGCCTCAAAAACTAAACTACTCTCTATTAATCACCATAAAGATCCCCCCCCATTAGAATGTCTGATAGTCAACTTCTCTGCGTCTGCTCGGTCTCACGTTGACTGCTGACCTGAGATGGAACAAATACCTTGAGGCAATTGCATCGTCCACCGCGAGAAAAGTTGGCTCTCTGTGCCGCGCCAGGAAATTTTTCTCCCCGTAATCGATACTTCAAATATACAAATCAACCATTCGGCCTTGCATGGAGTATTGCTGCCATATATGGTCTGGGTCACTTTCTGTTTACCTCGGAGTTCTTGACAAGATCCAGAGACGGGTATGTAATATAATTGGCCCTGATCTGGCGTCTCGTCTACAGTCACTCTCTCACAGACGCGCCGTCGCCTCTCTCTGTCTTTTCTACAAATACTTTCATGTTAATTGCTCCGCTGAGCTGCTTTCACTGGTTCCCAGAATCCATGAATTCAAGCGCCCTACGAGGCTGGCATCCCTCTCCCACCCTTACACTGTATAAACTTTTAAATGTAGCCGTCTCTTCTACTCCAATAGCTTCATACCTCGCACCTCTCGCCTGTGGAACACCCTTCCCAATTACTGTTTCCCTGAGAGTTATAATCTCCAACTATTCAAGTGTAATGTCAATCGACATTTCCAGTTACCTTGATCTATCCACTATCCTTCTTCTCATCCTTTCTTCTATCACTCCTATCTGCTCCGCTCCAAATCTTCTGCAACCCCTGCATCCTAGTGGCTTCACGCCTTGCTCGGGGCGTAATGCTTTAAAAAAAAAAAGGTTAACAAATGTATCACAAGACTACTTAAAATCTCTTTAAAATTCGGTTTTCCATTTTAAATATGAACACTTTTCCGATTAGTGAAAATTTGTATAGCAGACTTGATTCAATGGAGAATAGAAGCTATCATGGTGAGAAAATTTCAATTATAATAACGGAAGACGTCAGCCGCATCAATTGTAGTAATTATTTCTTTGAAAATTTTACATTGTAACTACCTGTTAAAATTTTTCCCCTGAAATTTTATTTAATAATACGGTACTATATTCCTGCTCAGTATTTTTTCCTTTTTTCCGGAACGCTTTTGAAATGTTATTTTAATTTTTACTTAAATTTTTTAATTTAATTTTAAAATTTACAATTGCTTTTTGTTTCTAATCCCGCTGAAAATGACATTTCAAACGAGTGGCCACTTCATGGGGTTTTCATAATATTTTTTTTTTTTTTTTTTTTTTTGTTCCCCTTAATTTTCACTTAGGGGTACAATCACCTGTAGGCTGGGGTAGGGAATTTATTAGGCTTGCAGGCCTAACTTTTTCACCTGATTTATTCTTTTGAGGGCAATTTGGCGAATTTTAAAGTTTTTTCACCTTATTCATCTTCTGGGGGCCATTTGGCAAATATTAAACTACGATCCTGTTCAACTGTCTAAAATTTAATTATAACACCTCCACTTTATAAATGCGTTTACCCATTTATATATATATATATATATATATATATATATATATATATATATATATATATATATATATATATATATATATATATATATTGAACAAAAAAAATATTAAAAATTAAAATCTTCTGACACACTGGGTTGTAGATTAATATTCTTTCGTTTTTTTTATTATTATTTCATTTAGATTCCTCGACTAGTTTCGGCCCAAAAATGGCCATCATCGGGAGGAGAAATATTTCTGCTTGCTGGTAGCAATAAACTACAGAAATGAATGTCTTGATGGAGAAAATGAACTTTTGTTTGCAGTTTTCATTTGTCTTTTTATTTTTTTTATCTTTTTAACATGAATCTTTTAACATTCCTTGTGTTGGTCAAACAGTCTCTTTTAAGCTGTTGAGATAAGAGCTGGATGGATCTATGCCTCCATGAATTCCCTTGGTCAATTTGACAGTTATATATGTGTGTGTGTGTGTGTGTGTGTGTGTGTGTGTGTGTGTGTGTGTGTGTGTGTGTGTGTGTGTGTAAAATTTCAGATAAAATATCTCTAAAAGAATAATATGAATAAAAACAAAAGAAAAACTTATCTTTGCCCACGCGTTTTGTCCTCTGGTGAAATTTATCAAGACAATTATAAGAATTTTACTTTACAACAAGTATTCATAAACAAAAAAAAATGCCGTTTGATTCTCGAAATTTTTAAATTCAAGAACGTTCTTAAATATTCATCAGGCTAGCTGAAAAGTCTCGGTAAATTATGGAGGACGCTAAGTGACACAATTGAATGTCTAACAAATTAAATGATGTTCAATTTGTTAGCCTATTGAATATTCACGAACATTATTTACATTATTCAGACTATTGTCCTCATCTTTGTCGTCATATTTATTACAACGTTTCGGCCGTTGTACGCTCCGGCCTTCTTCAGGTGGTTGGAATGTCGAACTGAACCCTTTATTTCGCTCACTGGGGTAGACTGTTCTACTTCCACGTGCCATGTTTACATGGCACAGGGGATAAAGGCGTTGGTTAGATCCAGTGACAGGACCCAAAGTGTGTGAGTTCAATACCCCGTTAAGGCAGTGGAGAACTTTCAGAGTTAAAATTAACAGGAGATAACTGATAACTGACATCCATTAGACATTGGTTTGCATTGCTATTGCTAGTGTGATTACGAACAGGTATAGCAGCAGCACATTTAGGCGTGAACCAAGGTTGGCTATTTGGCCTTTGCTTTTATAGACATCTGGAATTGCCTTGGGCACTTCGACGTGGTGTAGTGGCTAGCAAGCTTGTCTCGCCAGATCAAATACGACTGAATAGTGAGTTCGATCCTCACTGGGTGCCCCATAGTTTCGGACTCCTGCCACATCTAAGCTAGGCTTAGGAAATCACCATATTTGAATCTGAGCACTTGACGTAGTGTCATGGTTAGTAAGCTTGACTCGCTAGATTAATTATGGCTGAATAGTGAGTTCGATCCT